ATGATACGAGAGGCTATCTGTTTTACATATGCCATCGTGTGCTTGTCTTTTTCTCAAGAGCCAAAGGATCACCGAGGTCAGGACAGCGCTGTCAGTAGGGATTCAATAAACTTGCCTGCATCGCGTCTTCCAATCATGTCTGTTGGCAGAAGTGTTTATACCTGTTCTGAAAGACCACACTCAAAGGCAGGGTGAAAATCCTGTGGTCACGGTCACCTCCCGGCTGCATCATGCTGCCTCACTGGTCTTTCTTCGAGAGCTGTAGCATGTCTTTGAAGTCTTGACAAAAGTGAGTGCACGGTTTGAGACGGTTTGTCACCAAAGGCATTCATGGTTTTGCACTCGGTTGTCCACACAAAACACGTCTATTTTCCCACCTCTGCGCCCCCGGCCGGTCTGCTATGGAAAGTGATTGTCTGTTTTGAAAACTTTTGGCTCCTTTTTGCTTTAACAAAGGTAAGACACTGTTAGTTGATCACATGAGCTCTTTGTTTGAAACTTAGCGAAACTTTTAACTTGGCTGTGTTACTGCATTCATGTTGCTTTTATCATAGCAAACATACAGTCAAGCTTTATCTGTACAGTCTGTTTCAGCTGATTTACTTTACACAACATGCTTTAAAGACTGCCTCCGGTAGAAATCAAGTATATTTTTTAAACTTTCTTATTATGTCCATGTGGTGTTTTTCATATGCTGGAAAACATATCATGAATGAAAATACTATGAAACACCACGGCTCTGCATCTTAAAATTGCAGTGTACCAGTGACGGCCTCAACAACATGGATTCAGGCTTCTGGGGTTTCATACACAGCAAATCTCAGGAACCAATCCTGTCAACTTGCTCATGGGCCTTTTCTATATCATAATCTTTCTTTGGAATGGGTGTTGGAGTCAAATGTGCATTACTCCAGTGACTATACGCAACTTGTTCTGGTATGATCAGTAGCTTTTGGAAGCTCATGTTAGCAAAATGTCAGTAAATATTGCTGTACATGGCAGATTGCTGAGTTTATGACTGTCCTCCACGTGTGCTGTTAGCAGTTTTTCTCTGTCACGTTACAACTAATGCGGCAAGGCGTACTTCATTTTATTAGAATACAAAACTTAACTCTAGGTCCATGCCTATCTTGTCACTGTTTGGGTTTTTAAGTCTGTTTGGTTACCTGTGCCACTCCTACTACCTGCAATTTGCTCGGAGTCAGTCAGCCTGCTAGCTTCCTGTCTGGTCCTGACCCGAAAATCCCCAGCATTTCATCTCGTCGTTTACAGAAATACCCCCCACATGAAAGCATGGCTCTCGTGGCTCTCAGGTGCCCAGCTTCCTAGTCAGACTCACCAGATCTAAGTTGTGGGTATAAGCCTGTCATTGGCCGGTAATTGCAGTCGGCATTCTCCCCTCTTCCATTATCTACGTGTTAAAGTTTTTTTCACCACAAGGTACAAAAACAACAAGTTCTCGGCTATAACCTGCTGCACTGTAAATGAGACAAAAACTTTTGCAGAGGATTTGAATCGTTCACATTCCTCGTTTCATCGCATGCAAATATTCCACCACAACAATTCCCGCCATCACTCGTTTAAGTCATTCTTTGCTTCGCTCCGCCCACAACGACTGTAATTGGTTTAAAAAAAATACAAACAAGTTTTTTTTCCCCCCTGCAGCCGAATGATGGTGTGGTTCAGCCAGAACATTATGTTCTACAGAGCAGGCTGGCGAAGCAAAGCTACCAGCTCCCTCACTTCTCACCAGCCTAACTCAGCTCCAGAGTCAGACAGCATCTGCCCTGCTAACTTCATGTCTGATCCAGGCTGTGAGCCAGCCGGCCTTCAGCCTAGATTCCAGGTGGTCCGACTGGGAGCACCTCTATCCAGCACTTCGGTGTGCTAGCATTAAGCCCTGTAGCCCCAAGCTAACCTCCCAGACTGCTAGCATCCAGCCAGTTAGCCTCTAGCCTGCTAGTCTCTGAAGTACTGGTCTGCAGCCTGCTAGCCTCCAGCCGTTCATCCAGTCAGCTGCCAACTTCCTGCCTGATCCTGCTACCTAAGACCCCAGAGTCAACTTTCAGAAAAACCTGCAGAATGATGCATGGCTCTTAATAGCATTGTACCCATTAGCTGCCCAAAGCACAGAGTCCTTGCTGCCTGCTGAGACTTTTTACTGACATGTTAGACAGACCTCTCCACCATCACCACCATCAAAACACTAAATGAAGGAACATCTTTTGGAAGAATGGTGTTGCATCCATCCATTAGAGCTCCAGATATTCATACCAGGGTGTATGAAATCCATTCCTGGTAGCATGTGGTAACCCAACACGTTGCTGCAATGTTGGTTTTTCCTTTAACTTGTCACCTTGTGTATTTTCTGTTGTCCTTTCATTCTCCGTTGCTTGTAGGCAACAAGCAACAAGCCATTCACTTGGATATAAAACAGCTCCTGCAGTCTCTGGTTATCAGCAATAGTGAAAGCCTTAATCGAAATGTTACCTCAGTCTGGGCATTCTCGCTAATCACATTGTTTCTATGCATGCGAAGGTAGTGCATATGTGCAGTCAGGCTGTTTTCTTAGGCAGCGTGCGTGCACAGCTCATTACAGCGGCATCTATTTTTAGCCCGGCGTGATTGAAATAGGGTCCTGAGGGGGCCGTGAGCAGAGAGTGAGGATCGAACAAAGGAGGAGCTCAAGGGTTGGCCCTGGTCTGAAAAGGGAATTGGGGGTACACAGCCGAGGTTTGAAAGTGTCGCTGAGACAATCGCTTTTCCTCAAGAGGATCATGTTTAGGCTATTAGTGCCACACAGGCGGCCACGAGATTACACAACCCCATGTGACACAGCACTTGTCGACTCCAAAGAAAAATGAGTTCTTTTTTCCTGTTTGCTCTTCCTATTAGAGATGCTCACCTTTAATACACATTTGTCACAACATATAAACATGCCATGTTGTAGCTGTTTAATAGATTCATTCTTTTTTTTTATTTTGGCAAAATGAAGCTTTCGACAGTTTGGAGAATAAACTTGTTTTGTCAGTTTTTGTCTTAAAAATTAAAATATAAGAAAGCAGCAGCCTCATCCTTTAACAAGCCGGAGCAAAAACAAGAAGTGAAGAAAGCATTGTTATGGAGAAAACATAGACTTTAATGGAAATTGGCTCTAACCAGCCCCTGCTCAAGCAATCTGAGTGATTTCAGTCAATCAATTTAAATGAGATTTGTATCAACGTGATGCTCCTTTCATTTTGATGCCAGAGTCTTGCTCTTTTTTCTTTTTTTTTTTTACCTGCATTGAAAGGCTGCTGTTCTTCCTTCAGATCCAAAGTGGATTGGCTTCACTGGTTCCCTTCAGTACTTAATGGTAGAAGTAGTAAGTATTCAGAGGGGATATCAGGATTTTTATTTGCATTCTTTGCTTTCAACATGCTTCATTTAGTATTCAATTATGAGGATAGTTTTCCTGTTTTGGGGAGTATTGCGGTATTTTTAGGTATTTTTTTTTAGAATACATCATAAAACTTCATCTGTTAGAATATAGATAATTTACCTTTAAACACAAAGCGCAGTATGTGTGAAGCGTACAGCAAGTTAGAATGATTGTGATATGTTTCATTTTTATTTAATTTATTCAAATAAAGTCACAAAGAGATAGAGAGACAGTTGTACAATGCCGATTTTATTCCATCCAATCAGTAGATATTCTACTGGGTGAATTTCACTTGTGCTGCAGTTGGATGAAAAGCTGCACGATCATTCAAGTCATCAGGATTCACTGAGTAGTTTCAATAAATGTACCATATTTTACAACAATGCATTGAATAGCTGTGGAGATGTTGCACGAAATACCAAAAATAGCTCCCTCATTGTTTCACCCTCATTGTGGTGGGCAAGTCAGACTGTTTCATCCTCTGGAGAACCCAAAGGTCTTTAGAAAATTTAATGGAAATCCATCAGTGTTTGAGATATTTCACTCTGGAAGCGATGGACTGCCATCCATGGACATCAAACTATGGAATAATTATATATATATATTAAAAGAGAGATTATTGGTACGTACAATATGAAAATACATCAAGGATGTGAAGAACACCCACACAATTTGAAATTAGTGTAACTTTGAAATTAAGGGGCTGACAATGATAACAGCTCCCTCCAATGTTTGTACCTCTCTCCTCCGTGTGCTGCGCTTCTGTCATTAGCTTGTAATAGGCCAGACATCCAGCCAGCAGACTGCGAATCATTCCACTTTGGCTTCCAGCCCCCACAAGAGGGGATAAAGAGTGAAAATAATCAAGGAATAAGTGAAATTTTTTCTGGAAAGGCAGAGCCAGTGCCTCCATCAGCAATATGTGGAGAGATGATATATGCCGCATAGGAAGAAAAGCAGGACCTTGGATGGTCCTTTTACCCCGCTTCAGCCCATTGCCTGAGTCAGCTAGTGCTCCCTCACCATAAACTGCCACTTTTAATTTCCCTATCCTTTGCCCACTTGGCTGCTTATCTCCCCCCCTCCCCTCCCACATACTGCTTCCGAGTACCTTTGAGTAATGTTTCGTGTCTACTTTACCCCCGTCGTCACCGTGGAACCCTGCCAGCAAATCCCACCTAGCCGACCCACCCGCCGCCCTCTCCTCTCAAACTGTTTGAGGATCCGATACGTTGAATCTGAATCATCTGTTAGGAGCCACCAACCGAACCCTCCCCACACCTCAGGCTTTGCAACCCATCATACTTCCATTTCATTAAATAGCACAAATAGCTGCCCTGCGGTGCATTTAGTATTTTGCTGTAATGGCTTTTGATGAATCGATTTGAAAAATACACCATATTTGCTGATGGACTAGCGGGACAAAACACGCCGGCTGTGACCTCTGACCACAGCCGCACTCTGTCTTCCATACAGATGTTTCACTGAACGCTGTTGGTCGATCACAGTGTTTGTTTGTTTTTTTAAATACACTGTCAAACCAGCTCGATCTAAATGTCTTTCCTTTTTCTTTTTACAGACTTTGGAAGCGGTGCTGAACTTCAAGTACTCTGGAGGAGCAGGAAAAGTGGAGGGCTACTACAGGGAGCTGTCTCTTGGCGTCCATGTTGATGTGGAGCCTTCTGTGTTTTTCACCAGAGTCAGCACTCTCCCTGCTACCAGGTAACACATAAAATTCAAATGCATTTTCTATATTCTTACACGATATTGTACTTGTGAAGAGTGCATGGGCTCTTTGTGCTAATTAAAGAATGATTTTTACATTTTTACATCTCTTTGTGGGTATAATCTGCACATTTTGTACACGTAGAGAGTTGCATCATTCCTGCTTTCCAGGTTAGCCATAGCCAATGTGGTGCCAGTAACACACAGGTGTTATTATGACCATCAACTCTTTCAGTGCAGTATAATGAGATAGTTTAGGGCTGCATGATGAGTCTTTTTAGCACTGACATTGCGATTAGCACAACAGTCACATCAATCATGGCGATGTGACGTTAGGCAAATTAATCAAAGGTATCATGCTACAACTTTTTTTTTGCTGGTATTTTACAGCAACTTAACATCAGGATGTTGGAAACTTTAAGTCAGTTTCACCGTTCACCATATGCTATCACTGCTGGGTACGCTGTGATCAGATGTCATTGGATCTGTCACCACGCTCAAACGAGATGTCACTGGATCCTGAAGTACATCTGTACATTACTGCTGCAAGCAGAGAAGTTCAAAGGCTGGATGTCAGCAGATACCTGATAATCAGGTGGTGCTGAGCTCCTCCATCAGGTGGTCGTGTCAGCAATCAGTTGCCATTCTTATACATCTAACAGTAGCATTTACGTAGAGTCCTGTTTCTGTCCGCTTAATATTTTTACAGCTAATTGCTAATTTTGTTAAACTGTTTTTCGTGAAATGAGTTACCAAATGCTTCTAGAAACAGCGTCTATCAGAGGGGAGTAACCTTCTGGAACAAGACAGTCATCAAAAACAGGCAAAAATAACTTCCGTTTTCTCACTGTGGAACTCTAACAATTTCCTAAAAGGAGAATTACTGAATTAATGTTCTCAAAAAGAATGCTTTTGTGCCTTGTTTAATATTTGGGTTCACAAAGCAGTGTTGACATTCAAGGTCACCTTACATCATGTCCTGTTCTTTCAGCTTGCATGCCATTTTTGTCCGTAGCGGGGTTTATTATTTTTGGTTTTAATCATTTCTCATCTGACAATGCAGCAACACAACTCTACCTTCGCTCTGCACTTCAGCGGAGTACCAGACAAGCTAAGAATAATCTGTCTCACAGCTGCTCTTGTCCCAATAATTGGTAATACATCTAAATTCTAAGGCCTCATTTTATCTCACATAAAGTATAATTTTCCTCTCTCGATTTGGTGGATGGATATCGACCTTCTCTTGTACCACTGCAACCACTCTGGCTGTGACATTATTGCTAACCAAACTGGAGAACATGCTATTTTCACTGACAGGTCAGATAGTGGCACATTTGAATGGATACTGAGTGGATAGTTCCAGGCTCTCACATTCCCTCTCGTACGCACATAAACATACATTACTGCAGACACCCTCGCCCGTCCTCACTCGCGCACATTCCCCACGTCTCGCTTCACTCCACTTTTCAGCTCCCCAACTCTCGTGAAAAAAAAAAAAAAAAAACTCCAAGCGAGGGAGACAGATCGTAGCAGAGTAATAGCCACTTGAGGTGAATCATTAGCTGTAATAATATCTGCAGTTTAAGCCATCCATCTTGGCTCAGCGCTGATAGATATGCTGCACTGGCTGCTATACCATCACCCTGTAATCGCCACACCACCCCGTTCTTCCTCACCTCTACCGCACCCTGAGCATTTTCTGCCTCACCACTCCGACATACAGTATTCATTGGCTCTCGACCAAATCTCCAAAACATTTGAAATGTATTGAAATTGAAGGCTTTAGAGGGATTTAAGGTGGCCCGCAGCAGATCTTAACAACTCCTCTCAAGTCAAATAAACTTTATTTGTATGGCTCAGCATCGCATTTAGTGACTCAGTAGGCTTTACGGGGCCACACCATTGGTTGTTGATCCTCACTGACCTGTCAAACTAAAAAAAAGAAGAAAAAAATCACTATTTCCATAAGCGTCTAAGAAAAATGCAAGAACCCTCTTGACTCAAAGACAGATATCCATTCTCTGGATAGTTTAGGGTATAATAAGAACTGAAGGATTATTTCCTATGCTCTTGTCTAGTAGTTCATTCATAATGCTCCCGTAATACGTTTGTCCAGTACAAGGATGATCAAAAAGTTCGGATCCTGTTCAATCTGTAGCACAAAACAAACATCAAAATCTGTATTAGTTCATCCAGTCCAACCTCACCAGGAGCAAACTCGTTGTTTCCTTCAACATTCTTTGGATTGTGCACCGAGAAATTAGTGACTTCTTCCCTCTTCCCCAAAATGAAATTCAAGTTGAAAAAGTTAATGTTTTAACAAGACATTCAGCACAGTGGATGGTGCTTGGCATGTTTACAGAATGGGACTTCCAGGGAGTCCTACAAGTGTTGCAGAAGGACTCGGAGCGTTGTGTTGCTCCATCAAGAGATTACTTGTCAAATTTAAACTGGGTCTGGTTTTAAACCTTTTTGATCATCCCTCGTACAACAAGTTTTGAAATATTCTGAATAGCTGGCTAGATCTGAAAACTGGCATGAAATGTTTGCTGAGATTGATTCCCTTCATTACTTCCCATGTGATCAAACGATTTAAAATCAAAATTCTTTCTTTTTGTGTTACGTTCATCCCGGTGGTGTAGTGGTTGGTGCTGCAGGCGCACAGGAAGAAGGGTCTGAAGATGTGTGTGTGTGTGTGTGTGTGTGTGTGTGTGTTTAGGTGTGTGTGTGCGTGTGTGTGTGTGTGAGTTCTGCAGGTGCTCCAGCTTCGTCGTACATGCTAAAGACATGCGTGTTAGCTTAATTGACGACTCTAAGTTGCCTGTAGGTGTGTGAATCATAGCGTGACTGGTTGCCTGTCCTCTCTGGTACCCTGTGATTGACTGGCGACCTGTCCGAGGTGTTTAACTGCCTCTAGACCGGCGTCTGCTGCAATAGGTGCAGCCCAACCTCCCACCTCCTGTACAGGATTAGCATATATAGCTAACTCAAGGATTTCCATCTCATTCTATACTATCTGCTTCACTTCTACGACAAAGAGAGAAATATTGCACTTTTTAAACTGCCTACCTGACAGCTGCAGTTACCGGTTGCTTTTCAGATTATGTTTCCACACACACAAAAAAAATACTACTTCTAAAATACTGCACATCATTAAATATTAAGCTGTCATTTCTCTGCGTTTTTGACTCGAAACCTTTCACAAAAACCACGTCTCGTTGGGGCCGCTTATCTTGTTTCAGATGTCTGTGAATTGTTATGCGTTCCAAGTAATTAACTGCTGCAGAGGGTGTGGGGTCAGAGAAGTACTTAGCGTGTTGTTGTTTTTTACCCAACGTGACAGACATGCACACTGAGTTGGATACAAATAGGAACGAGTGCAGGAACCGGCCTCATTTGCCAGATCAGTAACATTTCCCATCAGCTAAACAAAATACAATACGGCAGACGACAATAATAATGTGTTTGGGAGAACTTTTGTTTTTCTTCTTTCCCCTAATTATCACACAGATTGACTTTGTAACTATGTTGAGAGGCCTGTCCCTGAGGCTGCGAACCACTAAACCTCACAGTGATGCATCCCTCTTAACAATTAGCAATAATATCATAAATAATAGCATATTAGCCAAAGGGGACATTTTACTGCAAAACAAG